TTTTTAAAGTATACTAGAATATTCCGTACACCATGCATCACACACAGGCCGCAATCTAGTCACTATTTCATCACATATTAGGCATATTCTTTTTTTCACCCAAGATGATATCCTAATCATTTGCTACTTTTTATGCGCTAGAATATAAAGCCATTTTCCGAGATCAGATTATTAGAGATAAATATCAAATTCGCCTACAGTTTTTTTGATAATATTTTGAAAATGTTTGTCATGGTCAGGAATTCTGATGGATAAGTGCAATTAATTATGATTTTTAATATTCTTTTGTCGGCTAATTTACAGATGATATAAAGCTAGAGGAGGCCTTGAATGGCTTATCTTCAAACATATCCCTACCCGAAGCTGGTTTATCTTCAGACGCATCTATTCGTGATCAGAAGCCAGGGGACATTATGTCTGTCACTACTTGCAATGAGGATCTTTCTTTACGCGATGATAAAATCAGGAGCAGCAAAACTGATGGCAGCGCACCCAGCTCTACTACCGGGGCTGCAGTAACTTCTGTTGGGCTGTCTCAACGCCTGCCTCCTTGGGCAGTTCGCGTACCATATCGAATGTCACGTGTTTCTCTTGACCCAACCACGCGATGCCTTGTGGAGCACGGCCACTCAGGTAAGCAAGCTGACACTGTACCAGAATCAAGCCAACTACAACAGTATCATCGTCGAGTGCTGCCGCGCGATCGAGCCCGAATTGGATGCGAATCTGCTACCGGAACTGCAGATCCAATTGTAATCCAAGAAGAGACTGGCATTGTTGCAAGTTCTGCCTTCAGTGCCGGGAGTTCATCAGTTATCGGGCAGTCTACAGCTTTTGCGATGCCCAAAGCCTTGCACGCCTCAGCAAAGGTTACCCGTGCGGCCCCGGCGGTACGAGCTGCATATTCGGCTATTGCCAATGTGCCCAGCGTACCTATTGTTTCCTGCGATCTTCAATCTTTGGAGCAATCCACTTCAGCACCTCATACTGAGTCAGTATCACCTTTTACTCCTGGACAACTGACGGCAGCTGGTGAATCTTCGATTGGGAAGTCAAGCGGAGTAACAGATGCACAGTGGGCAGCAGCTTTACAGGTTGGCCTAAAGTGTGCCTTTCCAGTAAAACTAAATGTCATTTGCTTAAGTTATCTTGCTTGATCTTGGCTGAGTTCGACCACACTGCCATTTACGGTGTTCTTTTGTGTTATACGTCATGATTTAATCTTATTCTCTGGCAAATTTGTAGGCTAAAGATCCTCTAATGTTTACCGAACATCGTCGAGAGAATACAGGGCTCTTCCATTCTTCTGTAAAGTTGGTCCAGAAGCATACTGTATCAAAAAATATTTTCAGTAAAGCCTCTTAAAGACCTCTTTGTTTGGGCATATGTCTTCAAATAACATTTTCTGTCCCTCTGATGCAAAATCTGCTCTATCTCTACTTTGTAATGTAAAATGCCCTTTACACTCTTTTATCTGCCTGATCGGTTATTGAATATTCCTTATCATTTGCTTAGCTTTGTGTATCCACCCGAAATCTTCCAATCTCAACTTACACTTGCCTTTAACACTTGCCCTCCTCCAACAACTCATCAACTTTTATCAATTCCCAAGTTTGGATAGGGAAACTACTCTTTGTTCCTAGCTATTTTAGCCTTCGTCCTCATATATACATCACACTGCAAGTACATGTAGTGATTTCATGTGTTTTTCTTTTAGGCTAGTTACCATGAGATATTCAAGAGACATTCATTTAGTCACTCTTGCAGATTGATATATTTGCTTGAATTGATTAGCCTGTACGTAGCAGTTGTTCATTTGGGATTTCTTAAGCCTTGTACTTCAAGAAATACTCTGTTT